AGTCTCCTCCGGCACAGGTCCAGCACAAGGCAGTGGCTCCCTCCCGAGCTTTGGGAGCCGTGTGCCTAAGCCTCAGGGCTGAGTGTGTGAGAGCAGATGTTCTTATGAAGTTAATGAATGAATTCTGCTACGGGCCCACAGTCCCCCATCATTCTTTTCTCATTTAAGGACGTTGTATTTGATCATCTGTTGCAATAAAAAGCCTTGAAGTCTTTTTCATCCTAATACTTATTTGGTCAGCAAGGCCTGGCAGTTTGACCTCAAAAATAACTCTCACGTTCATGTCGTCGTTCACTCTGTCATTTTTCCACACCCAGACCAATCCCTACTTGTAGATGGAGTGAGGGCCTGTCCACTAGAGGCGGTGGGCGTGGTGGTGCAGTCCAGGTCCTCTCAGACTCCCCTCCTTGCTTCTGAATTTTCTGTGAATGCCACCCTCAATTCAAAGACCATTTTTTAAAAAAATTCTGCAGCTACATGTGGCTCTGTGGAAAAATTGCACATTGCCATTTAGTATGATAATCAGCGGTAGCGGTGACTCTTCCATGCCTGGGCAGTATTAAAGAGCCAGTGGCGCTTAACACGGCGCATTCCAGCAAGCTTCGGTTAGGGAGAAATAGGACTTTGTAGTGTGTTACGTTGTGTGTACTTAATTGTAAGGATGCAGTTAAACCAGGATAACAAGGTGTGCCCTGTGCTCTGCACCTGGAGGAAGCACACTGTACTAGGACTATTCAGGACTAGGCACTCTGTCAGCGTACTAGCTCTGTTTGATAGAACTACTCAGACACACAGATACTTCAGCCTGTTTCCAGCCTCTGCTTTCTGTGCATACTATTGCTTCTGCCTAGCCGGCCCTTGCGGCCACTGCCTCTGTCCCTTCCTTCTCCTTGGCCTCTCTTCACCTAAACCCTCCTGGCCTTTCAGAACTTGCCCCAGCACTGCTTTCTCTAAGCAGCTGTCCGGGGCACATTGGAGTGGAGGAAGAGCCCCTTCTCTGTGTACCATTCCTCCACACATGCCTGGAAGGGCCTGTGGCAGGCTTGGGGGATGAGAAAGAGGGAAAGCATGCTGTCATGGGCGCCGGCCAGCCCTGACTGGGAGGCTTCTCTGCAGGTAGCAGTAGGCTGAAGTCCAAGCAGGAGACAGCCTGGAGGACAGGAGAAGAGTCCTGCTGGCAGAAGACTATTATGTGGGAGGACTGATCCCCACTTGCTTGTACATGGTGGTTGGAACTGGAAATCAGTCATTTACCTGAGAAAGGAAGCATGAGGCAGCAGCAGGTTAGGTTCAACCCAGGGTCAGGGTGTTTGTCATCAAGTAGACTTGGTATCCTGTTCTCCGTGAGATCCTGGGCTGGCTGCCCAGCCTTCCAGGGGAGGAATATCCTAGCTGTGAGATGGATGAAGGTCGTCTGGGGCTGGGATGCTCCCACACTGCCCAGGGAGAAGTCGGCAGGGAGTGCATCTTCCTATCCCAGCTGTCCCAGGTGTGAAACAACTGGGTTACTTTCCATGTTGAATACTCCTTATTTGTTATTTTGAAGCTGAAATGGTAGAAATGATTGTTTTCCTACAAAACTGAGTAGAAAAGAGTGGAGTCTGGGGATGTGATTGGAAGCTCTTCCTCAGATTCCCAGATGCTTATGGTACTTCAGCTTTGTGTATGTGTTTTTGCATATTCAGAATGGCAGTGGTAACCGGCTCTCTCCCTCTTGCTAGCTCAAGGACATCGTAGATCAGAACGTAGATTTTCCTGTACTTGGAACAGATCCTCAGCCTGTGTGACGGCAGATTCATGGCCATGTTGCTGCCCTACTGCACGTAGTCGTTGACACCAGGCACCTTTTGTCCACCATTCTGATGATAATGTAATAGCACTGATGAAATGAAACATTTGATCTTGGTCCTTGTTTGTAATATCTTACAAAGAGAAGTGCCCACAATTCACACAGCACCAAGTTGTAGAGTAGGAACCTAAGGGTCAAAGAAAAACTGGAGCTTTCATCTGTTGGAGATAAGAGGTGCTGGCTGCCTGCCCCACCCCCACAGCACCTAGCACAGGGGACCAGAGCTGTCCACACAACCCAGGCAGCCTATTTGCTGCAGACCCCAACACTTCCAGGGCAAGTACCACCTCTGGTTTCGCATGCACTCTGTGTTGATTGACTAGATATTATAGTTAAAATGCCAAACACTTTTATTGGATATTAAAATTTGGGAATTAAGAGAGGGACCTTTGATAATCCTAAGCTCTGTCCTAGGACTGTCATCTCAGGGGGAATTTCTTTGACTTCTCAGCCCTGGTCTTTATTAGTTTTTAGGATACTTCATTGGACATGACTTAAAGCTGCCAAATCATTTTGTGCTAACTGTGTTTTCTTTTGTTTGTGCAGTGGTGCTGATTACTATGATTATGGACACGGACTCAGTGAGGAGACTTATGATTCCTATGGTGAGTAAGGGCCAGAGTAGCAGTATAGAGATAGGGCAGGTAGCTATCAAAGACCTTGGAGATCATAACTCGTGCGAAAATCCGTACTTGTCTTGACTATGGAACCACAGCCTCCTCATAGTTCCTCTGTGCATATCTATTTTCAGAGGCTCCTTTAGCATTTAAATGTAATATTTAAAGAGAACTAAAGACTTACAGAAAGTTGCATGAATTCAGATTCTGAGCTTAGATTTCTGTAGGGTCGATAGCCACGTGCTGATCCAGTTTAATAGAGTAGTGAACTGAACTGTGGACATTTGGTGTTGTGGGTCTTTTGGAAGTGTCTTTTGCTTCTTGAAATGAAGCCGCTGAGGCTGCATCTCTAAAGTAACTCTCCCACCCCATCTGTATGTTTTCATTCATTCCTAGTTCAAGGCCTCAAAAAATCCCACTGGGAGTTGTTCCTAAAGGTTACAAAAGCATTGGTCCAGGAAGGAGAGATGAGAGTTATCAAGCTCATAGGCAAACTACTCAAGTCCTTCTAATTCAGTGGGAGCTAGTAGAGCTGCTGGGGAATTCTTGTCCTGAGACTCAATATGCAGAAAGATGACAGGTTTAATTAAAAGAATCGGTGGCAGCAACAAAATGATAGTGAGAAGCGCCTTTGCAGCAGGGCAAAGAGATCAGAGAAGCCGGGCTTTCTCGGCTGCAGAGCTCTGAGAAGGCTGTACCGGTGCAGGTGAGTCAAAATTCTGGCTAATGGATGTTATGACATTTTTCTGAACGTAAGTGAAAAGCCGTTTCCAGTGTTCCTTTTGAAGTAGGTTTTGTTGTGTCACCTGCCCAGAGCTGTGGTGACCGCATCTGGGCTTCTTTTTTTTTCCTTTTTCTTTCTTTCTTTTCCTTTTTTTCCTTCTTATTTGTAACAAACACTTAAGAGAAATACATTAGCTTGCTGACTGCTGTCTACTTAAATTGATACGAGTTAGCTAGCGGGAATGACGTTGATTGCATGTTCCTATCAAAAGAAGAGGTCATTTTAAGCATTTTTCTTTCACAGCTTCTTAAATTGGTCTCTGTGGACACATGGCTTTTAAATTGCTGTGTGTTGCAGCAGGAAGTTAACTGTTTGATGCCAAAGGCCTGTAGATAATTTGCTGAGAATCCCGAGGAGGAGCAGGTGTTTATTTCCAAGAGAAAAGATCATAGAACATCTTTGGTTATCCACGAGTGAGTGGGGTTTTGTGGGTGTCGGGCCTGTTCTGGGCCCAGGCGGTCCTCTGGAGGCCTACTTCCTACCAGGGCAGCTTTCCTTTAGTCTTTCTATGAAAGGGCCAAAGAGGAGCGAGACTCCCTCTCTCTCCCTCAATCTTCCTGCTCCCATTTCATTCTCCGGTTTTTCTCCTTCTGTTTTCACACATTATCTGTGTTCTCCCTCTTCATTGTCACTGTTTGAAGAAGCTGCAGTGATCCTCACCCCTCCATTTCCCACTCATAGATGCCTCCGTGTTCGGCCAAGGGCAGTTGAGTCTTGCATGGTTTGTGAGCTGTGGTTGTGGTTGCCGAGGCGGTTGGCAGATCAGGTGAAAGCCGTTTTCCTTCCCAGGTGATTTTTTTCTAGTGAGATGGTCGTTTTCCAGTGTGTGTGGTTTTCCTAAGGTGAGACCCTGGGGCTGCTTCTATGGGTGCCTCAGAAGTGTGTCTCTTGATTGTGATATCTGCCACTGGTTTAGGGCGAAGTCACATTCTGATAGATGAGGCCACTAGGTCCATGGCAGTGACTAATTGTGACTCATCTTCCCGATTACAGGGCAAGAGGAGTGGACTAACTCAAGACACAAGGCACCTTCATCGAGGACAGCAAAGGGCATCTACAGAGACCAGCCATATGGCAGATACTGATTGTACTGTCTGATGTTGTGAAATAGCCAATCTCCACCCGTCCTGTATACTGTTCAAAGTAATTTTTTTCTATGAACAATCCCTTTTTAAATAAATCAAATGCTTAAAATATGAATGGATGGAACTTAAAACTACTTTGTTGAAACATCAACTTGGGCAGGAAAAAAAAGACATGTAAAATTTTGTTATTTCCAGTCTGTATATGAAAAAATAGGTCATCAAAAGGAAAAAAAAAAATAACTTTGATTAACTAGTGTTAAAACAAATAGGTTTACTAAATATGTTAATCCATTCTTTTAACATAAGCCTCACCTTTCATTTTAAAGGTTTCCATAGAATTTAGTTATTTTATCTTTTAGCCATATGCTAGTTTTTTTTCTCTTGCCAACATGCGTAAAAAGGGAAGCCAATTATAAGTGCAAATAATGTGGTATTCTTTTGTAACTCAAGTCTTGAAATGTTCTGTAGTGTTAAGCAAAGTCTCCTCTTGCTTGATACTAAATAAACTTTTGAAAGAAATTTCGTGTGTGTGAGCTAACAATTTTATGTTTTTCTTATTTAAAAAGGCCTTCATAAATAGTTGTAAACAGGGAAAGAATTCCTTTAACAATGCTTGTCATAAAAGGGTCACACTAAATATTGTACAACTTACTTTAAAAATGGTATAAAATTAAATGTACCATTATATGCTCACCGTAGATCTAAATGCTGTTTAAAGAGTCCAAATGGTATCAAGCTGCTTGAGTGGCACGTTAAAACTACGCAAAACCAAATCTTGTTTAAAAACTGGTTTTAAAATAACTACTGGATTTTCTGGAAAAGATGTGATCAGTTTTCATCTTGTTGAGCGTTTTTTCACTAGTGCAACTTTGGATTTTTTATGAAACTTTTGGTTCCTTAATGAACACCTCGCTCCATGCTGGAAGCAATAAGCACAAAGCTTTTAAAGACATTCTGACTGGACTAATTGAGGTCCACTCGCCAAGGCTGAGGATGTGTAACCCTTAAACGGTCTTCATTTTCAAAGGTAAATAAATCAAATAAGATTTTAATCTCACTTAATTTATCTTAATATAACTAATAAAACCAGGGAGATTACAACTTAGCAAGTTTCAGTATCCATTTTAGAAAGGCTTTAAGATCACCTAAATTCTCATTTTAAAAAGTTTAATTTGTTTTAGTAATCTAAAAAGCCTTAGTTTAGTCAGTTTAATTGGGGCCAATTATTCCCTATTAAATAAATGTAAAACCTCATAACTAGTTATTGTAATACATTATTTGGTTAGTAGTTGAGGGCATTCTTAAAACTGACAGATTTATAAAGTTATTCTTTAAATCATTTGGCTTAAGTTTTTGTTTGTAGATTATATAAAATGTTAATTTTTATTTTCAAAAGGTTTTCTTCTCTTTATTTTGAGTAAAAAGATCTTTTCTTTTGTTAGGAAATATCAGCTGCCTTGGAATATCAGAGGAACCGGTCATGACCTGGAGCAAACCGAGGTAAGAGTCCTTTGCAGCGTGATCCCGAGCTGTAGGGAAGGGCGGTCTTCCCCATGCTGGTTCCCACTGCCACACCAGTGACCTAGCAGATTGACTCTTCAGGCCAGAAAAGAAGCTGCCCGCATCTAAACCAGTCAGGCCCAGGAAGCTATGTTGTAAGCTATGGAGATTGGAGGCTCAGGCCCTCACAGTATTTAGATATTCGGATCAATTTCTTCAGTAAACATAGTAGCCTGGCCAATAACATGAAAAGGTTTTCCATATTATTAATTGGTACAGAAACTATTTTTCTAACCTAGTGTATAATATGATCCCAATTTTATTTTTGTACATATATACGCACATGCAAAAAAAAAAAATTAGGTCTGCAGGAAGTTTTTGACAATAATTATCCTAGTCTCGTGAAAGTTTTTTGATTTTTTTTATGCTTCTGAATTTTGCAAAACAAAATATCACTTTCATAGAATGAGTGTTATAAAAGGTGCTTCATATATTATTTCAAAATTCTTCAACAGAATCCAGAGATAGTAAAGGAAAGGTTGATAAAGGAAAGGGATTATTAATTTGGTTTGGTCAGATATTCTTGCTTGGTTCTGAACCATCAAAAACACTGTGCAGGCCCTGATCTTGTTGACAGTTTTGCTTTCTAAGTGTTGCTTTTTGAGCTCTATGATTCCTGCGTGACTCTGGGCAAATCTTGCTAGATTCTACATCAGCGCAGTAGGAAGGGTGCTTGCATCTCTCATCATCCTTATATGTCTAAGTGAGGTGATAATGTGAGAGCTGTGTGACTTGAAATGATGCAGCTGAAGTTCACTTGCCAGATGGGATTCACATATTTGATATGAATGAGAAATATATCAGCCAAATTTAACTGAAACAATTAGATGAACTTTCAAATGAAAATAATCCTCTTCATCATTCTCTTAGACCACAAGAAGTCAGTCCATTGTCCTTGTTGGGTTTGGACTTCTCTCCTTGCACAGAAAGGGAACGCAGCCTGTGCCACGTCTCCTGAGCATGGGATGGGTAGTCTTTATTGTTCTTCATGTTGCTTTAGGAATTGACTTTTATCAAATAACAAATGGAGGCATCTTTTTTGGTGTTTTGTACAGTGAAAATACATCTTAGAGATCTGTGGGTCAGAAATATAATCCTGACTGCAATCAAAATACCATCAGTGCCCTGTTCTTACCTCTGGAGGCTCCAGTCGATGCTAGCTTCTGGAGGCCACCTTCATTCCTTGGCTCATGAGCCCTTCCTCCACCCATTGAGCCAGCCAGTACTGATCTGATCCTCTCTTATTGCCACCTCTGTTGTTCCATAAATGTCGGTTTCTTAAATCAGGAATTAGAGATAGGCAGAGGGCCATTGCCCAGATGGTCTTCAGAGCTAATTCAGGGAGTTATCATACATCTTTGTGCTTATTCTCAGTTTTTAGAAGACTTCCCAGCTTCCTCAGCCTGTCATAAGCCCAGGAAGGTCCCAAGCGCTGTGGAGTAGGAGCCCTCCCTCCTGCTTTCCTGTGACAATCTCCTCTGATTTAGAAAAGACTTTGCCTTGCCTGATTTCTGCCACAGGAAGACCCTCTGTGGGAGCCAGTCCTCTCGGGTCCCTAGGGGAACATAGCATTCCTCCCAAGTCTCCTTCTCCTTGCCATTGCTTCCCACCCCAAATCCATTTTTATCATATGACAGCAATTATTAAGTATGAATTCAATACCAGATGCAAAGGAGGCATTGGGAATACATAGATGTACAAGAAATGGGACCCTCTCTTCATGACCTCATGGAGGTGATGGACTAACAAACCCTATTCCTTTGCTCATAGAAACTACCCCGACCTGAAGGGATCCTCAGCCCAGTGCCCTTCCTTCCCAGGTGTAAGCTTCAAAGTTGAAATCACTCTTACAGCCCTCATACCTGGTGACTAGGGGAGCTGAGATTTGTCTGCCTTGACCCAGAGTCCTCGAGCTCCACTGTGGGGTCTGGCTGCACTGGCCCCTGTTCAAAGCTTCTTAAGAGGAGGTGCTTTCATTCCTGTTAGCTTGGCATCCCTGGGAGTCTCTCACACATTGCATCAGCTGACATCATGACTGATAACCGCCCCTCTCTGTCCCTGTCCTGCAGCTGCCCAGGTTCCTTCATGGAGAGTCTTTGGTTTAACTTAGGTTTGGTCTGTACTCAAGAAGTTCTGAGCAGATCAGTGTGTCAGCACTCACTGAGAACATTTGCTGAGTCTCTGCTCTGCTGCAGGTAGTAGGAGTACAGTTAGTAAGTCCTGGTTCCTGTCCTTGAAGGTGCCATAGTCTGCCATGGAACATGTAGGAGGGGAGGCGTCCACAGGGCTGTGCCGGGTACATATTTGGTGCTCTGTAGGTGCATGGAAGAGGGAAGCATACCCCAGGCAGGGTGGTTAGAGGTCCGGAAGGTGCCAAGCAGGGTATTAGAATCCATGGAGAGAAGATGACCACATGGAGCATTCACATTCCAGCTGTCAGTCATTAGCTTTGTAGCCTGGGTGCAATTTTTTCCCTGAACTGCAATTTTCCCACCCATAGAATGGGCACAGTGGTGGCACCTATTTCAGCATTGCTGTGAAAATTAGAAACATGCCTGGCACAAATAAAAGTGTTTGCTTTAATTTGTTGCTTTCCATAATTTTTTTGGAATTAAAACATGGTCATCTAGGGAACTTCAGTTATACTAGATAGAGACAGTAAGATGCTGTAACTTGGTCGGCAAGGGACACATAGTGAAGGGTCTCGCAGGTCCTGCTAAGAAGCTTAAATAACATGCGGCCGTTGCCTTGTGTAGTGTTCACTGTGCCTTGAAGCTTGCCCTGCTCTATTCCTGCAGGCAGAGGCAGTGCCCCCTTAGACTGAGTGCCTTCCAGAAATAACGTTGTGCAAACCATCAGTCACTTTGGTTAGTGGACCTATAGCCCACCTGTCAGTGAGTGACTTGAGAGACAAAGGCAGGGGCCCTAACTCTTCCACCCTCCCAGGGAGTATGTCTGTGAGAGGAGAAGACGTGGTCACATGACCAGTGTGATTCCTGATGGCAGCATGCAGTTGACTGACACAGCCTGTGGCCATTGTTACAGTTCAGAAGTCTTGCTCCCTCATTTCACCTCAAAGTTAGATGTGCTGGTCACTGTATGGAGACAGGTCCCATATAGAACTGATGATTTAAAGAAAAATTATAGAATTAAAAGTTAACCACAATATAAGCCATTTTATAGAATATATGTGATGAATATAAATAATAAAATGTTTCTTTCTAGGCAAATATACTGTTTATATAGCTGATCAGTGTTTGGGGAATAAAAAGGAATAAATCCATCATTTTACATAAATTAACGTGTTTCTTCTTCAGTGTTTCTAACTTTGACTGGAAAAGGCTGTGGGTCATTTTCCAATCTGAATTTCACCCTCCCTCACCTAATGGAAACCCCCCTATCCAGTTGAAGTTGATTCTGAATCAGCTCCTGTGTCGAGAACCTCAGCTGTCTGTTTCAGTGATTGGCATGCACTGCTGACGACGTTGTTCATTGGGTCTTCATGTGATGAGCCTCAGTGGTGTTCAGGATGTGGCTCACAGACCTGGGCTCTGGGTGGAGGCCCTGTGTGCGCTTGCTGCCTGCCTCTCCAGGACTCCTCCCTGTGACCCAGGCCTGCCCCAAGGAAGGCTCGGCACAGCACTCCGTGCCAGGCATCCTGGGCCTTACCTGTCCTCTCTGAGTCTGGCTAGTCATTTGGCCCATCCACACTTGCAATTGAAACTTGAAATATCCCTCACCCAGAAGCCCTTCCCTGGCCCCTTGTCTCACATGGAGTCCCTAATCAAGGACCCTCAGAGAGCTGTATGACTTCAACCCCAAGGATTCTGTCACTGGCTCCATTCCCTCTTCTCCCCTCATCAGAACATAAACTTTTATATAATCTAATATAATATAAACATACCTTGTCATGTGACTGGTAAGTAGAGAGTGAAACAGCAATCAAAGTGGTGAAGGAGGTCACTCCATGAGGTGACACAATGTCCTGTGGTGCAAAGAAATGGACTGGGACGTCTTTGGCCTTACTGTGTCACAGGTTATTAAGTTCTATCATACATGTGACATTTGACCACTACTGGCAGGATCTGTGTGTCTGCTACCTAATAGTTCTGGTGTCTGACACTCAAAACAGGGAGATGGAGAGATGAGCCTCGTGAGGTACACAGGGCAGCGTTGTGCTGGACTAGACCTCCGCTCTACTTGATTATCTTATTCCTACAGGAAGCAACCACATCTTGTTTAATTTGACCTTCAAATGCTTGCATCACACACACACACACACACACACACACACACAGAGAGAGAGGCAAGAGCTGACCAGGTGCTCCTGGAGGAGGGAAGGAGTGAAAAAGTGGACCTGAAATTCCTAAAACACTAATAGTGGGTACTTCTTGGGATTAGTTTGCTTTCTTAGTGGAAATGACATATTTACTTCTGTAACCATTGATTTTTTTCAATAGAAAAAGGAGAAAACCAAAATATGCCCTTTTTTTAATGTAATACATGTGTTTGAAATTCAAAACCTCCAGAAGAGGTTTTAAACCAAGGAAAATTGCTTTTAATCCCCACTCACCTCCAGACACCCTCAGCTGGCTGTTCATGTCTTTTTTTTTTTTTTTCTTTTTTTCCTTTCTTTTCAGAAATGGTCTATGGGTAGGCAAAGCATGTATGTCTGTTACAGTGCTCAGTACCTATGGCCATCAGAAAATTCCTCTGCTCAAAACTGGGTTCACTGCATCTGGCATGGGGCGGGCCCGGTGCCTGTGTGACTGAGCAGGAGAGGCAGGGTGTCAGGTGCAGCAGGGGCCCTGTTCTGTGTGTCTCACAGGAAGAGCTCAAGCCCCCACTCTTCCTAGGACCATGCCTCTCCTGGGCCTGTTCACCAGGGGTGAGCACACAGGGCTCAGCAGGGGTGTTGGAAGGGCTGGCCTCTGTAGTGGCCAGCTTCCTGCTGAGCTCTGGATGCACCAGGTGAAGGACACAGAGGAGACCCCCACTGGCACTTCCCTCCACAGTATCTTTGTCACCTTTTCTTCATATCTGCTCATCTAAATCCTGCTGGTTCTCAAAGGTCTGCCCTCTCTCCTCAGTCAAAATAGCCCCCTATCTCTGCCTGCATTTACTGACCGATAGCACTCAATTGGGGACTGCCTGATTTTGAGCTGCTAGCTGTGCGTTGTCCTTCCTCCCTCAGTAAGGTCACAAAGGAGTCTGTTACATTTTATAAACCTTAAAGAACATAGCCACAAGCCCTTCAAGAAATATCCATTGATTAATTAAGGATCAGTAGATTTACTATACTAGGGGTTTGACTTTTTAAGGTTTTAGTCATCAGTTCACATCTGATTCTTCCTAGCAGTAGTGCTGCTTTCTGGTGTGGACCCAAGATGTTCATGGTATCTTTGCAGAAATAGAAGGCTAGATGAGGCAGAGATGGTGCAGGGGAAGGGGATGGGCCTGGTCTGAGGAAGGACAAGATGAAACCGGAATGGTGTTTTGGAAGTTACCATCTTTCCAGCAGCCAGGGAAGAGAAAAATACTAGACATGACAGACGGGCTGTGGGGTGGTGACCAAGACATGGAATGGCAGTGCTTGGCACCTGGAAACAGTTGCTGGACTACAAGGTGCAGGAGATTGAGGGAGGGATGTGCATCTGAAGAGACAGGAAGGGGCTGGTTCTGGGAGCCGTGAACACTGCGACAGGTGTCTGCGGGCCGAGCTTTCTGTGAGCCCCCAGTGTGGTGTCTGGGAACAGGCTGGAAACAAGCCTAGCAGGGACACTTCTCCATGTGTGGGACTGATCTTCTGATTGCCACCTGGTTTGCAAAATAATGGAATTTTGCTTTGTATGGTACATCAAAATAAGTCTTCCAGTGTCAGTTAATGAAAGATTTTTTATACATGTCTGAAAGTTTAGCCTCTTAACAGATATCAGTGCTGGGAGGACCTTGTGAGGTGGACTCAGGAGAATTTATTTCATACTTTAATATCTGAGTTTCCGTGTGACAGGCATTGCTGTCCCAAGTCAGGCCCCATGCGTCACATGGAGAGTGGTGTGCTCATCACCGTGCTATGGGTCACCCACTGGTACTCACTGTGAACATGTGTTCTGTGCCCTTAATTCCAATGATTCTGTTTTGCATTGTTTCCCAAATTTAGCAGAAACAATGTTAAATGTCTCCTTACCTAATTGCTCTGCCTAAATTCTGCAGTTTCTAGACAGCATATAATTATTAGTAGTTTTTCGATGTATACAAATACATTTTGTTTTCTCTCTTTCAGGAGCTTCCCTTCTATTTCTGGATGGTTTAGGAATAGTCGACTCACCACCGTGCCTACTCAGTAAAGGAATCCACTTGGAAACTTGAAAATCGTCCTGATTTATTATGATTTTTCCACAAATATGTGTCCTGTTAGATGTTTTTAATTAAATACTAAGCTTTTTAATTTGTAAGGGCTGTTTTTTAAAAAAAGGAAAGGAAATCCTCAGAACCAAAAGAAAAGAATGATTTGTATAGTAGTTAATAAAGGCTGCCCTTGGAAGTCTCTCCTGCTTTCATGTAAACACAGAAAGCCGTCTTGTCGTTCCAACACAGCGCTCTCGCTCCTCTCACTCGCTCGGGAGAGCTGTGAATAGCCACCACCCACTGCCCAAGGCGGGAGGCCACACAGACTCCAGACTTGAAAACCATTTGTCCATCTCAGTTATGAGCCAATAAATATGAAAGCATTTGGCCAAAATCTCCTGTCACATGAAAGGTTAATTACAGAGGCTGGGGTAGGAAGCAGAGTGGCGGGGACAGAGAGGAGCCTAGTTTCCAAGCCTCTCTGGTTTGTTAGGGACACACAGGTTGCAGTCCCTCTGGATGGAGTCACTCTGTATGCGCTTTGGGCGTTCACTGGTGGGTTGTGATTTTAATTCAGTGCACCCCAGAGAATCAGCTTGATTTCCCTTGCTGGAGGCTCACTCAACATGCTGCCTGATCTTGGAATTTTGAGAACAGTCTTGCGCATTGGTACATTGTCACTTTCTTGCCTCAAAGACCTGGCTCCTCAAGGCTTCCCCTTTTACAGTGAACCACGTTGCTACTGTTGGTTAACCACAGGACCACTTGGAATGGTCTTTCTCTTGTTGTCTCGTGATGCATCCAGAAAGCAGCTTGCTGCCCCTGCAGTCTGCACCCTGAGATTTGCTGGAGGTGCAGTTCTTCTCCTGGGAAGGCTGCCTGTTTGAAGGGGCACTGTCGCTGCCTGCAGTGAGCAGATGGAGAGGGCTGGCTCAGGAGGGCTGTGAGAGCACACAGTGCCCCTTTTGCTTGGATTAACTTTTAATGAATAGGAACTTTAGGGGTGGACTGTTGTGAATCACACCTTTTCACCTGCCCAGTCACTGAAATGGTATCAGCCTATGAGAAAGCCCCTGGACTTGAAGGGCCAGTGCACCAACTGTCTGTTCCCTCCATCTCACTCTTCATACCTGGATTTGGGCCCTTATTTTACTGCCCACATGACTTCATTCATTAAAAACACATTTTTCAAGAACCTCTCTTCTGTTGGGGGCTGTCTTGCTTAGGAGAGGGAAAACTGAGCACCCAGAGGGAGTCCCTCCTGGAGACACGTACATGCCTGTGGTAGGAAAGGCCATCAGCCTCAAAGGCATGGAGAGCATCAGGACAAACCTAATGGAGGTGGTATAAGGTGACATTTTTAGCAGGAACCTTAAAGAGTGGAGAAGCGAGCTGAGTCCAGACCCTGGCAAGTGCTGAGGTCCTGAGGTAGCAGCATGCTCAGGAGCTTGAGAAACAGCAAAGTAGCCGGTGCAGGAGGGGTGGGTGAGCAGGGACCAAGAAGAGTAAAAGGGAACAGGCATGCTGGCTGCAGCCCAGCGCTCTGAGGGTTCTGTGAGCTTTTGTGGCCGCTGCTGAGGGATGGAGGAGCTAGACAGAAGAGCAACATGACCCAGGATCACTGGCAGTGGCACTGAGAAGAGGCTGTAGTGGAGCAAGGGGGAGAGACCTGTTAAGTGGCCCAGAGGGGTAGGAATCCAGGGTGATGCAGAGGCTTTATTCCAGAGCCTCTGAAAATATAGAATTGCCTCTTCCTGGCAGAAAAGATGATGGGGAGCCGGTGATACGTCAAGTGGGAGGTACACATCTGGGGGGTTATTTCTCAATGGGAGATAGAAGTTCGAGAGTCATTAGAATGTTGATGTCCTTTGAAGTTATACTGTGAGTGTGGAGACCAGAGAACACACCCCTGGGATGTTACAGCACTCCCAAGCCAGTAAGATGAAGGGGAACCAAAACAGGACACCAAGTAGGAGTTGCCACTGGGTGAGGACAGGACCAAGGGGAGTGCCCTGGGAGGAGGCTCCTGAGGGAAGGGTGTCTAGGGGGAAGGACGTAATCCTCTGCAGTAGGTGGGTCGAGTGAGCAAGGACTGAGATGGCTGGTGGCCTTGACTGACCTCTAGAGTGAAGGATTGGAGCAGAGTGGAGAAGGGGTTGAGAAGAGTTGTTCAGCCAGCTCTCCCAAGGTCCTGCTCTGCAAAGTTTTAGGGGAGGCTGCAGAACTGAGTGTGGGGCCCACACAGCAAGGGGAGGGGCAGGAGGCCGGTGCATGGGACAGAGGCCAGCAGATGGGCATGCTCTGTGCCAGCAGGTCTCCTTGCCCTTAAGGGAAACCTGTTTTAGCTAGTCTCCTTAGGCATTGCTTCAGCAAGGGAAAGGAGGTGCAGCCTGTTGCTGTTGGGGTGTGGATTAGGGGGAAGCTGGTTCTGGTTCCACACTGGGCTCTTTTGACACTGTTGCTGGTGAGGAGGTCCCTCATTACTGCTGAGCAGGGCTGTTTTGGCTTCAGGAGCCTCTGCTGATACTGCCCTGACTCCACAGGCACAGTGAGGGCCTAGTAGCCTGCGTATAGCTGAGCACTAGTGGATAAAAATCCTCTCTCCACTCGGCCTCCCTGAGCTAGCCCCAGAGGGGAGCAGTGGAGCACCTGCATCCCAGCTCCCCACTAGCTTCACTACTACCACAGTGGGTGTCATTGCCACCAAGTGGATATGAAAGTCCTGCCTCTCCACTTGGCCAGAACATTCCTTGGGGCCCAGGAGCTCTGCATAGCTCTTCACATAGACTGAATCTTCCTAGGTACCTCTTACATGCATCCTTTTAGCCAGTCAGGACAAGCCACACACGGAATGAAGATACACTCACAACTTGCTCGGTTACGTGGAGGGGGGCCAAGGCTCTCCAGCCCTGCAGGGATGCACCCAAAGCTGGAGGAATCAGTCTCTGTGTACCTGTGACCCACCCAAAGCCCCTTAACTATCTTGGAACACTCCAAATTTCCAGGGAATTCATGCCATCCTTTATGACACCCCCAGAAGCTCTAACCCACACCCAGCCCATGAGGACATCCATGCGTTGGAGTCACACGCTTACCTGTGCCTGCCACAGGCCCACACCATCATGCACACTGCTGATCACTGGTTTCTTGTTTTTCTTCTCTGTCCCACCACTGACCTTCACAGTCTGTGTGCATCCTCTGGTGCTACGATAACAGAATCATCATCAACTGGTAATTTATTTATTATTGTTCACCTTCCAGGAGACTGCAAAGTCCAGAATCAAGAGAACTGCAGATTTGGTGTCTGGGAGCTCTGTGCTTCCTAAACAGCCCCTTCTGTGTCCTCACATGGTGAAGGGGAACCTCCTCTAGCATCTCATTATAACAGGAACCCCACTACCAAGGGGGGTCCTCCTCTTGCTGCTATCTCCCTGAGTACTGGGCTCCAGGAAATGAGTTTTGAAGGGATATCGACATCCAGGCCACAGCAGCCTTCAAGACAAACTGCCTTAGGCAACTGCATCCCCAGGTCTCAGCTCAGGGCCTCCACCTGGGCAAGTGCTCTTTGAATAGCTGCAGGAACACACAGTCCACCACCTGCAGCTGAGGGTGGGTGAGGAGGAGTTGTTCAGCCAGAAGAAAACTATGGAAAGAGCCTCTGAGTCGTGTCGCAGCCCGGCTTCCTGGCTAAGTTGATTTCGGTCGGTCCAAGAGCACCAGGGTTCCTCCTTGACATCCTCTCTCCTTCTTATTAACAGTTTTCAGTCTCCACAGGCTGAAAATAACTACTCCAATATTTGGACTTAAAGGATCCGAGTGACTCAAATGGTTTTAAAAATAGTAGCTGAAGACTTTTTTCAGCGTCTATTTAACTATATCAGACTCTACAGCCACGTTCAAGGTGACGCCTTCGTGAAGTTGTGGAATTACTGTTGCTACCACACCAAGAGATTGTCTCCTTACTGCAACCTAAGGATTCTGGCCTCAGTGTGACCAGTCTTCTGCAGAGTGGCCAGGCTGCCCTGAGTGCGCAGGAGCTCTGGCAGAGGGGTGCTTTGCAGGCCCCGCAGCTCCTCCCTCCCCTGCGCTCTTGCTCCGTGTGAATTGCAATGCGAGTGTTCTGGCAGCCCCGCACCAGGCTTCTGACCGCTTCCCTGACGGCCCACCTGTCCCCACCCACCTGCCCACAGACAGCACCCAAACAAATGTGTATTATCAATGCCCCTCCAGCCCCCGGCCGCTCACTCTCACTGTCCTGCCCTGGCCCCCAAATGCTCATCCTCAAACTGTGCTCTTCACTTCAGCTCCTGGAGGTCACGGTGACAGTGTTTCCCAGGGCAGATCTGGCGTCACTGGTCCCATGAAGGCTGGTGCCTGGTGTGTGAGCCACCGATGCCATGTGACAGTGACGGCAGACCTCCACAGTTAAGAGAATGAAGGTTTGTTACGGCGTCCACTTCCTTAAGGCCTGGGCCTGGTCAGTCTCAGGGGCAGAGTCAGGCTGTCAGTGGGGCTGCAGTCACTGGCTGGCCCAGGGTGGGGTACATCTACACAGCTCACCCCCATGGCAGCGGCCACAGCTCTCCACACCTTGCCTCGAGGGCTTCTCCAAATCCAACCACCTGACTGTCCTCACAGCAGGACAGTGGCCTCCCTAGAGCCACTGGTCTAAGAGCGAGTCCACGAGTGGGGGATGCAAGGCAGAAGGCACAGACTTTCACATCCTGGCTGCAGAAGTGCCTTCCCTCACTTCTGCCAGGAGCAGGGGAAGCACGGCCCTGGGGGCTCTTCCTGGAGGGCAGGCGGGTCCTCCATACCTCTGTGCCTTAGAGCCCTCACCTACAAATGTGGGTGGCGGAGCCACATCCTAGGGACGTTGCAATGTCCCAGCTCACACGCCAGGCCTTCAGATGGGGCCTGACGCGGTGACCTCAGTGCTCTTGCTCTGCCACCCTCAGGGCACCTCTTCTCCCACCCATCTTCAGTGCAGCCACCCCACCCCTGCGTAGTCCCCCGCTCCACAGACCCTGGGTCTTCCATCATGACCTCCTCCCCCTCGTGTTTCAGGGGGAGGTCAGACCTTTCTGCGGGTGGCTGCTGCAGAAGCATCCTTGCTGAGG